GTGGCTTCACTTTCTTTCGGGCAATCAGGAATCCAGTGAATAGAGATCAGTGCTCTACAGTAGCAGCTATTAAAAAAAATGTCTGCTCCCAGTCAAACAGCAGCCGATCGGCAGACCACTTCCAGCCACTGGCCTTCTTTTTTTACTCGGAGTCCACTCTTTCACTGAATTACAGGGTCTGACCAGGAGATGGCGCTCTTCTTTAGATCTTAATGTCCACAAATCATGACAGAAAGAATATTTACTATACTACAAATATTGATGTTTAAAAAGGAATCTTAGGCAACCAGCAAAGAAAGGTGGGGACATTTTGAGTGGATGCTACTGTAACACTGTTCAGATCCTCTAGGACTTCTGCAGCACAAAAAATGGCTTTATTGTTGATTTTAGATTTAGATTTTTCTATCAAGTTTTAATTTGGAAGTTTTTAGATTAAAAATGCAAATAAAGTTTTTTATCTTTAATAACATCCACGTTTGGCTCCAGGGTTCCAGTCTCTGGGGTCCATTTTCACTGGACTTTAATTTAGATCTGAGCGTTAGCTGCAACTTCTCCTCCTGTTTGGTGCAACAGAAAGCAACTTTAGGAGTATTATCGCCACCTAGGGGCTTGGATGATAAAGTTAGCATCTCAGTCTTTATCTTAACTTGAGCAAAAATCTTGTGCCTCTAAAAATGTTTTTTTTTTTTTTTTTTCGCAGTAAATGAAATCATGGAATGATGTTTGATTACCTAACATCACATCAGCAACATGTTAGTCTCTGTAACTACCGTCAGTCAGAATCTCCCATCTAGTCGGCCATTATTCTCCCTCTGTCATTTCAAACACGGACATTTTCTGCTTCGTTTTGCCTCAGGTTTTCCCTCCAGAACAATTCATCCATTTCTTCAGCCTCCTTCAAGCATCTAAGACCAGACTTTTATTTTATTTTTGTCAGGCGTTCATTGCACGGCCTTTACTAAAAAAAACGACACATTGTACGGCCTGTTTTTCCCCCCAGAAACTTCGCTCAAATGTTGAAAATTTGCCAATCCAATGTAGGCACCAGATCTGCTCAGGGCCTCGCCGCTTCTTATGATGTCAACATACGGCAACTCCATTCGGACAAACTATATCGCACCCATTTCCTAAGGATCGAATCTCTTTTGGATTTTGAACATATTATGACCTATATTTCCTATTATTTTACATTTTATTGGCGATCTAAAGCAGAAAACAATCATTGTCAGTCTTGAAGGAAAATACTGCCTTCTAAGACTGAGCTCTGCTATATATCAAGATCACACAAAAAATCTCAGAAACATCCAACAAACCGGCCACAAACAATCCCGCCCCCTTAATAATCGACCAATCACATCAATTTTATTCACTCGTGTAAATTCTCCACTCAGGAGAATTCAGAAATGCAACAGCTGGAACAGCCGCTTCTCTACGACTTTAAGGTGTTCATTGAACTAAATACTAAAGTGGTTTGGCCCAGTTCTGGTCTGATAAAGGAAGAGTCGCTGAACATGATCTAATGATGATGTCCAGAGCTACAGTTGTTGATTCTGACTTTCTGTCTTTCAACTTCTTGGTGACCTTTGGGTCGGCGCTGAAGGAAAGATTTCATAAAAACCCCAAACAGGAAGTCTTTATCTTCTAAAACGCTCACAGGCAGATGTTTTATTTTTAGTTTAGTTTCACTACACTGGAAAAAAAACATCTAGAAATAAGTAAAGATTTCCTAAATTCAGTTTATTTACTGTTATTTGAGTAGATAAATCAGTTAGTTTGCCAACGGAATGAGTATTTTTACTCTTAAAATAACATAATAAGATAACATGCACTTAAAATAAGACAATGCAAATAGTGTTTTCTTATTTTAAATGTCATTTGTCTTGATCGATTGGCAACATGTCTCTTTTACCTCCTCAATCCAAGAACAAATGCACTTATTTTGTGTTGAACCATAAGAACCTCTGAGGAAAAAAAGGCTTCAAATACCCTAAAACCCTAAAACTTCAGGTATTTGGATGAAGTTCTCCTCATTTTGGCCATGAATTAAAGCTCCTCATCCTTCTGCATAAAAGTAATGTGTTATCTGGACTGCCACAGAGCTAAAGGCTTAATTTCATGTTTAGCTTTTATTTTCCTGGGCAAATGTGTTTATTAATCACATATTCAGTCTGAACTCATTCAGTCATTTCAGTCACAGATTGAACTTGAACATCTTTTGTTTCAGATTTAGGCTCCTTTCATGTGGCTCAGTTCTCTTCTTGCAGTACCTTCATTTATCCACCAGAGGGAGACATTCCCAACATTGCGTGCTGCAGTTAGGCATAAAAAAAAAAGACTAAAAAACAGCAAGTTTTCATAAGAGCGTCACAACAGCAGAGCTAAGCCAAGAAGAAAACACAGAGTTGGAGGATAAAGGTTTGTTGGACAGACAGGGGACAGACAGACTGATGGACAGAGACACGGACAAGAAAGACCAGTCAGGATAGCCCACCGGTTACTGTTGTAGGAGGGAATATGGCCGCCACTCACAGCCACACTTTTGTTGTTGTTGGCTAATATTGTTCAGGAGGAGAGGAAGAGAAGGCAGATTAATGAGGAGGCAGAGCAAGACTGGAGAAAACTACTGCTACGCTAAATGTCGCTACGACAGCAGGAAGTAGCTAGCTAACCAGTGCGTCGTTTAACCCCGTTTGTGGTGCTGTCGCAGTACCTGGTGGCGGCAGCTCCAGCTTGGCCCTGCGGAGCTCCGTCATGGACGCCTGAAGCTGCTCGATCACAAAGTCGTCCTCGAAGAAGAAATCTTTGGCCAGTGTGACCTGGAGGAACTCCACCAGCTCCTCCATGGACAGCTTCATCAGGTGCTCTGCAGGCCACACACACATCACATCAGTTCTAGTGTCGGCACACAGCGGCTGAGGGGGGGCGGCAGCTGACTCACTCTTATGCAGCTTGAGGATGGTGTAGGACATGGCAGGCAGCACGCGCTCCCCCTCCAAGATGTAGATGTCCCAGATCCTGAGGGTGAGGGTGAAGGGCGTCTGAACGCAGACAGAACCAGAGGTTAGAGTCCACCCAGCAGAACACCAGAACCGGTGTCAGACCAGCATACCCAGTCAGACCAGCATACCCAGTCAGACCAGCATACCCAGTCAGACCAGCATACCCAGTTAGACCAGCATACCCAGTCAGACCAGCATACCCAGTCAGACCAGCATACCCATAGTCAATACTAGGGATGGAACGGTTCATGAAAACTGTCCGAACAGTCCGGTTCGACTGTCTCGGTTCGATTCGCGTGTGTTGCATTCGGTTCATGCGCTGCTCCTTTTTCTCATAGGCGAAGCGTTTACACTCCAGAACAGAAGGTGGCGGTACTGCGACCAAAGCCAACCACCAGTAGTAAACAAGAAGAAGAAGCAGCGAAGCAGCGTAGCAGAAAAAAATCAGTTGTTGTGGAGAATTGTGTGGGTATGGCGAGTGGGAAAGAACAGGAGTTGGAAGACGCGCCAGCAGCACTTTATAGGTCTGCTGTATGGGACCGCTTTGCATTTAGAGTGACCTACGATGACGGCGGAAAGAAAGTTGTGGATAAAAGTGCAACAGTGTGCGAGCATTGTGCAACACATGTTGTACTATACAAGACATAATAGATTTTCCTAATGACCGAAAACCGTGACCCGAACTGAACCGTGGATTTTGTGAACCGTTCCACCCCTAGTCAATACCAGTGTATCCCTTTAGTTTTGTACGAAATTACTTCCTGTTTGATATTTTTTTAAGCGTATGGCGATCTGACCTTAAATGCTTTTTTTTGTGTGTGTAAATGACCAAAGGGATACACGTCTGTTGAGGAAGGTTAAAGTTTATCCTTCATACAAAACTAAAGGGATAAACGCAAATCTGAGGTGTTGCGCGTGCGTATTGACTATAGATATGCTAATCTTTCAGAATACCGGTTCTACTGAACAGTTCAGGCTAAAACTGGAACAGCTGTTAGAAACTTTTAAGCTGGGCATACGCTGTGTTGTTGCACACAGCTACCCCCTCACACTGTACATCTAAAAACGTGGGAATCAGCTCCGCAGTGAGATGGAGCCACTCAGACTCTTCTATCCAGAAGCCAAATGAGTAGAAGAGGAATATAAAGCTCACTATAGTGAAATGCGCTGCCTTGGCTATTGGTGCAATTTGTGCTGAAACCCCTAAAAAGAAAAGGCGACAATGTATTTGGACAGAGACATGACTGAGCATTGCTCACATTTATGGAATGATCTAATATAAAAACTACATCATAGCAAACAATGGCTTAAATCATATTATAGCTCATTAAATGGGTGTCAGTCTGTCGGAGAAGCTGCCTTTAGGAATTTTAAATGTCCAGCAGATGTCAGTATTCATTGATACAGTATCCACAGGTTGTAAATGCGTCGAAACGCTTCATGACGCCTCATGAACTGAGTTATTAACGGACAATATTGTCCCAAAGAACAAAAAAACTCCAAATAATCCTAAAATATCCTTTTCGTAAATTTTTCAGAGTTTCAATCTTAGCTGTGTGCAAACTGTACGTTAATGAAACTGTAAGTAGGAACATGAGATATCCGCGCTGCGTCACGCCAACATATGACCGATAAGACGCGATGCTTACGATTCGCCAGATGTGAGCTTAGCGCGAGATTACCTGATACTAAAGCCTGTACGATGAAACCTAAAGGTTTAAAAGTTCTCATTTACGATGTATGTTCTCGAACCGACGCTGTGATGCGATCTACCTGCTCACACTGTACGTCTAAAAACCAGGTGGGACTCAGCTCCGCAGTGAGATGGCGCTACTCGGACTTGTCTATCCGGAAGCCAAACGAGTAGAAGAGGAATACCAAGCTCAGTAGAGGGAAACGCGTTGCCATGGCAATTTGAGCAATTTTGTGCTAAAAGCCCTCAATAGAAAAGGAAACAACGTATTTGGACAAAGTGATGGCTAAACAAACATGTCTACTACCGTCTGTCAATTTTAAAGAAAGAACTCCATTTCACTCGAACCCCGCCATGCTGCTGTGTTTGCATCTCAGAGGAAGAAGAAGAAGATCCTTTTTTGCGCACTGAGCGATTTGCCCACGACCTCCTTACGACGGGCGACTGAGTTTCAAACGTGTTTGATTTCCGCCTGACCTCACGATTCCTGATCAGGAGGTGGTTATTAGAGGCTGAAAGTCGGCCTAATTGGAAAATAATCCTAAAAGGGCATAAAAATCGTACAGTGTAAGCCGGGCTTAATGCAGGGTTCGTTTTGCCCGGCGTCCTGCACCTTTTAGATGTGCGTTGCTTCAAGGTGCAGGACGCTGCTGACCTCACTGCAAAGGGAAAATACACCAGACGCATTACAGTGCAACAACTTTTTTAAATTATTTCTAGTAGATCTGTGAAATGCTACCCTTTTCCCCACCCTTTAAGTTCTCTGCTTCAGAAACACAAACTGTGAACATCTCTGTTGTATTTCCCTCTTAAGGATATTATCAGGGTTTTTCTTCTTTTGGGCTGGATGTACTCACTCTGTCCAGGAAGCACTGGAAGAACCACTTCATAGTGTACAGACTGGTGAACACCTCCTGGTTGTCCTGCAGCGGAGATCAAACATTGTTCAGCACATCCACCAGTCTGATCTCTGTCTGTTTGCTGCTGCTGTCTCTCACCAGATGCTGTTTCAGTTTGGGCATCGTCTTCTTCAGGATCCGGTCGTGGTGTTCCTGGAAACGCATCAACTTAGGGAAACCAGGGATGAAGAAGCCTGCAGGTCAGACAGAGCAGGTTCATTACCAGAGCTCACGAAGTTAGCGCTGAAAAGGGTTTGTTTACTCCTGCTGCCTGTTTTTCAGTGTAGTCCTGTTTCTCTGATTGTGACTAACTGGATGTTATCTCTTTATCCTCTGACATGGGAGCTGTCTGCTTCTGTCTCCTTGAGCCCCAGTCGGCCTCAGCAGATGGTCGCTCACACTGAGCCTGGTTCTGCTGGAGGTTTCTGCCTGTTAAAAGGGAGTTTTTCCTCTCCACTGTCGCTACAAGCATGCATAGTGTGAGGCATGGGCGTAGGTTTGCATAGGGACCATAGGGACATGTCCCTACCAACATTTTAGCCCGACCTACTTGTCCCTACTATTAATTTATGTGAATAACATATTTATAATTTACAATAAAGTATTGTTGCAGCCGTTGCTTCTTTTCTCACAACTTGTATAATGAAGTTAATATTTTAAATGCTAAGTTTCAGTTCCTCTTAAAGTTCCCACGCACATGTGAATACAATAAATCTATCTGCAGTCCCTTGAATATGTTATTTTGCTTTGCTTTACAATACAGAGAATATCAGCATATCAGATAAAACATAAGAGTGGGTTTTACCTCTGCACAATTCTATTTGTTCCAAAGAAAGCACCGGTTAAAAACACACACAACAGACATATTTAGACTATATTTGGTTTGAAAGGCACATATTTACATTTCGTCTTAGTCACTGGTAAGTTCAAATGTAACCCTTTGTCCCAGTTTTACATTGATAAACAGCATCTTGTGTGTGTAGTCTTTATACGATTTGTTTGCAGTTTTCTCTGGTACGCTCTGATGCTCACGTCAAGCATAAAAAAAATAGGAGCATGCATAATGCGTAGGACCAATGACATCAGAGCAATTCAACTCAAGACCAATAGTGTCCCTACCAAAGTTGAGATCAAACCTACGTCCTTGGTGTGAGGGATTGCCTTTGAGTCAATAGCCGTTTCTCAATCTGTGTACTTGTGCGTTCTTGTGTACTCGTGAAATCTCATCAGCCTCAGCCCTAGTACTGTTCCAGTTCACAAGAACAGCAGACAGAGAACGGACAAAGTCCTCGGATGTTGTTCTCGCCCCTCCCTCTTTACCCATCATGCATCAGAGCAGACTTGTCCATTCTTGAGATTGACAGCTGTCCCAGCATGCACTGCAGCAGCAGCTTTCAATGGAGCGCTCACAGAGCTCAGAGCATTAAGTTAAAAGTTCTCTTTTCTGTTGCCGTTATTCAATAAAAGTACGTTTTTAAGATCATTTCAGGTGAGAACGTTATACTTTAAGCATCACTATGTGGCCCATTTAGTGATTTAATGCGTAATTTAAAAACAATTTCCAAAGTTGAGAGGACAGCGGGAACCAGAGTACCTCTAAGGCTAACGGCAGCCCTCTCTCTGCATACCCGTGTGTGAAGCCCCGCTGTTTTTTGTTTTATTTGATAAAATGTTCATTTGTTTTGTGTTCTTTATTATTCTCCCACTAAATGGAAAAAGTAAAAATGTATTATTATCTAGAGACTATTAATAACAGGGGGTGAAATGCAGCTCCAGACGAGCCGAGCGTGTGGTGATGTCATCAGTACGCTTCTTTTCCTATTGACCCATATTTATGCAGCGTGCTCCCGTTCTCCCAGAGTCCACACTTTCCTGTGTTCTTCTCAAGAACATATTTGGCGAGAACACGAGTCCGTTCTCACGTTCTAATGAACTGAGAAACAGTCAATAATTCGATTCAATCAACTGGTTTTCCTTAGATAGAAAACTTTGAGTCAATCTGACTGGATGATCTGGTGAACTGTAAAGTGCCTTGAGGTGACATGTGTTGTGAATTGGTGCTATAGAATTAAACTGAATTAAATTGAACTTTAGGAATAATTAGAAACTGCTTTATTTAATTGAAGCCATGTCCTCTTAGACAGACTTTTTTTCTTGTTGTAATGTGGCTGTTGTCCAGAAGAGGGCGACATTGTCCTTCCTTATAACCTTGTAGGCTATAAATATAGAGATGTTTTTTCCCCTCAGTTAATGTCTGTTGTAATTAAAGATCCTCAAACCGTTTAAACTTTGGTCCAGGTAGAGCTGAGTTTTCTTGTGTTTTACCGTGCATGGCGTGTTTGTGTCCAGACAGCAGTTTGACCAGAGCCCAGAAGGCGTCCTCCTCGTTCATGTAGATGAGCAGCAGAGCTGTGATCTGACTCATGCCCTGGCAGTACCCGACCTCCTGCAGACAACAGCGCTGTTACAACCCTGATATTAAAGCATCTATAGGATCTTTTTCTACTTTAGAATCAGCTGGTAACTCCAGCTGCTTTTAGCCAATCAGATTAGGCTCCTTTTGGTCACATGGCTGGGAGCTAGAGCAGGCCCATCCAGAAGGTGTTCTGTCAGACCAGCATACCCATCGTCAAAACCCATTTATCCCTTTAGTTTTGTACGAAAAATACCCTGTAAGACCCACTGTTGCAGAATTACAACATTTTTTTTGTCATCCTAAAAAAAAAACCTTTTCTTGCATGTTCTCTGAGCAGGCGTGGGTTCTCTCTGGGTACTCCGGTGTTCTGTCACATGAGCATACACAAAGTCAATATACCTGTTTATCCGTTTAAGTTTCTCCCTTTAGTTTTGTATGAAGAAAATACTTTAAACTACCTCAATGGGCGTGTATCTGTGCAAAAAAACGATTAAAATACTTACTTTATGGTGTTTTTTGAAGCGTATGGTGATCTGACCTTAAAGGTTTTTTTTGTACATGACTAAAGGTCCGTTGAGGTAGTTTAAAGTCTATTTCAAATCCGATATCTTGCGCGTTCCTGTAGACTGTGGGTATGCTGGTCTGACAGAACACCGGATCAGAACGTGTTTGCCAGCAGGAAGGACTCACCGTGTTGTACATGGAGTAGGCCGTCAGGACATGGAAGAGTGCCTGCTGCCTGAGGAGCCAAACACAGCAGAGTCAGAACTGACCGGGTAGAAAGCACCGTTATTAAGTTCTGGTTAATGGGCCCAATGCTCTTAAAGGACCACTGTGAGGATCTTTGTCATGGAGCCCACCAGAACTGCAGCTGAGGACTTCATAAAGCTCTTACTTGACGTCGTAGCGATGCATGAACATGATGTGGTCCCGGTAGGTCCTGTTCACGTCCAGGTCGATCTGCCGGACGTCGGGGGACAGAGCTCTGGCTCGGGCCTTCAGCTTCTACAGCAGAGAGAAGAAGAACCATCTGATCAAAAAAGAACTGGTTAGAACCGTTACCATGGGAACAGAACCTCTATGGTGTCCTAAAGATGTCCTGAAAGACCAGCTTTGTTCCCTTCAAGAGGGGAGGTTCAGGTTCCACCACAGATTTTCAGTTAAATCCAGGTCTGGACTTTGACTAGGCCAAATATGAGGCTGATCTGATATGAAGCTGTTGGATGTTCAGGAAGGTGAACCTCTGGCCCAGTCTCAGGTCCTCTTCCCAATTTATCTCCATCCATCTTCTCTTCGTCCCTCACACAGATCGTTTTCAACCTTCTTCCAACAGATTTATGGAGGCCACCAGATCATTCCTACCTCATAGAAGTCTTTCTTCTCCTCTTTGATTTTGGGAATGTCGAGCAGCAAACCCCACACCTCCCCTCGGAGCTGCAGAGGAACGCCCTTATAGATCCTCCGGAACAGCTGGAAGGAGAAACATCTGCTGTTAGGATGGACCGAGGCCCTACAAGAGGAACCCGATGTTTCTGAACCGGTTCTGCTCAGACAATCAACAGGTCTGGTTTGGATCCCTTCCTCCAGATCCAGAGGATATTAAACACTTCATGTTCGACCAAACGAAGCGTCTGAATCGTCAGTTGCTGCAGCAATAGTCCAAAGAGGCTGTTCACAGTGGAGTTCAAATTAAAAGCAGTCCAAGACGTTTTAGTAAAGGTGTTGGTTACCAACAGACCTAACTGGGACGTGAATTACTTACTGAAAGAGGCGCGTTAAAGAAAAACCATGGCAACCTTACTGCCACCTACTGGTTTGTGACGTCACTGTGCGGTATCGGCTGTTGATCAAGTCCCAGTGCTGTATCTGGTGTTTGTCACAACGCGCTATTATCCAAGTCATCTTGAAAACATTCTTCTTCCAAATGTTGGCTACATATTACGGGTTTTTTCTCTGGCCAGAAGTTCGATGGCAAATCCTCCCTCTTCAAGTTGGCAATCCAACGACCAACCCGTCCGTGGAGGATCAGGAATCAGAAAGGTGGAATAACACTTTTTTTTTTTTTTTTTTTTACTTTTGCCTGATGCATTGCACAGGGATTAAAGTATTCTGGCCCAGGTTTACGGCTCGTAGCGATTGCCCGTTGGTAAAAAAAAGGTAAAAAAACAAAAAAAATCACTCAAAAATAAATTGATGGTAAATAAAAAAAAAAAAAAATTGAGGAATTGAAATCCCCTTTAAGTTTGTCAGCCAATGGTAGCAAAGGAGCGCTCTGAAACTAACAGTATTAGCCAATCAGAAGAAGGGGGCAGGTCTTAGGAAAGCTTGTTCCTCCTGCTCTAGTTTCTTGCTCAAGTCGCCATAGATTTTGTGGTTCAGTGCTGAAGTTCTACATGTTCAACGAAGAGACGTGCAAAAAGGTAAAAAAATAAATAAATTCAACTTTGTGTTTGGAGAGACGGCGGATAGAGAGAACGGAATTGCATGAAGTGGGCTCAATGCACTTCATGATGTCACGATCATAGATAAATGTCTGAAAAATCAATGGCGCTGGGCATAGCTGGAGGAGACAGGGCGAGATGGCGAGCCATTTAGCAGCTGGAGCAGGAAGTTAGGTGAACCAGGCGCTTGCTTCTGCACGCTGTGCTCCAGGAATGCTTATTTATCATCCATCGGCAACGCAAACATGAGTAAGACCCTGATCATCAAGCTGCTGTTCATGCTGTCCCGTACACTATACATTAGCCGGGAGCTACAGCAACAGCTGGTTAATGTATACCCTGTTAAGGACAACACTTAGCAGCTAAACTGGATATCAAACCCGTAGTGTTTACATTGCTAGGGAGTACCAATATGGCGGCCGGTGGCTTCACTTCAACCCTGTACTACTATCGGACTATCAGTAATCCAGTGAATGAATAGAGATCAGTGCTTCCAACCCTCTGGTTCTGTTCTCCCATCTAGTTTTGGTTCTGTTAGCAGAGAACTGGCCCAACAGTCCCTCCAAATTCTTTAAGTTAAGAGCCGTGAATGTTTGCAGAAGTCTAGAAACGTAGATCTATGCATTAGTAGAAGAGTCACCTTGTCGCTGTTCTTGTATTTGTCCCAGCTCTTTATCATCTTCAGCCACTTGCCGGTCCTCTCCACCTCCAGGTGTTTTTGCTGTGAACGTTAGAAACAAACAGCTTCATGGGACGCGGCGGAGAAAAAGAAACGATGAGAATCACCGCAGAGTTCACGCAGTTCACAAACTGAAACATGTTTCATCATTTTATTTCTCCCACAGCCGCTGGGAGCTTCAGGTTTCAAAACATTATCACCAAACAGGTGATAAAGGTGGAGAACAAACAGAAAGGATGGAGCAGAGGAAGCGGCACCAACCTTGGCCTCCAGCGAGTCGTAGGACGGGAGTTCACTCTCACTGTGGGACAGAAAAACAGAATTTAACCTGCAGTTTGATGCTTGGAGTTTTCCTTCTAGAAAAAAGCTGTTACTATTGATGGGTCCGGCACCAGCGATGCGTTGGTGCATCCAGCTCATAGAGTCATGTGATCGATACAGGAGCTGTTTCTAACTGACCGACACAATAAAACTATGTTTAAAAAACGGATCTGTCAACAAGATGCATCTGCTAAAAATGTCTCGTGACTCACAGTTTATCATTAAAATAATCAAGAATTTTGGAGCAGCCTAAAAGGAACAGGAACGTTTCAATCGTTGCGTATTTATTTTAATTGTCTCGTAGTGTCATCCTTTTCCTCTCAGTTATCACTCAGCTTATCTGAATTAAAATGATTAATATCAACTTATTATTTACTGTTTTTAATGTACTTATTGTTTTAAAATTATGATTTAAAGTCGTAGGGAAGCGGCTGTTCCAAACGTTGTATTTCCGATTTCTCCCAAGTGGTGAACGAGTTTACATGAGTGAATAAAGTGAATGTGATTGGTCGAATATCAAGGGGGCGGGATTGTTGTAGTGGAAGGTTCACCAGCAAGTTTGGTTGTTGCCAGTTTGTCAGAAGCATCTTGCTAAACAGTTAGCAACTTAGTGCTAGTAGGTTCCCAATGGGAAATTCCATTGGGACCAAGTAGCACTAAATTGGTGACGGCTGGTGAGGTCAGGATGACCCAGAAAACCCATCGCCATGTTTTTTTTCTCCTTCATTTCCAACAGCTCTTGACAACTCCACAAAATCCGCCACTTAAGCCCCTGTCACACCTTGATGATTTAGACCAGAGTATGCCTGATGTACCAAAAATCTGGCATACGTTGGATAAGTTATGGGTACATTTAGTATCAGTAATGAGCGCGCTGAAATACGCTGGTACAGGTCGAGATACAGCAAGTGCGTTGAGATATTTTGAGTATGCTCAAAATTTCCCGACACATCCAGCATATGCCATATGTGGGCCATAACTTACAGGTAAGTTACCTGATGGTTGACATACGTTAAAGTCGTAGGGAAGCGGCTGTTCCACCCGTT